GGGCTTTTTAAGAGAATACTTGACAAGAACAACCTGACATAATTAATCACAAAACCAACTATGCACAGGTGATAACATAGAGGTGATATGGGCAGCAGAGGTACAGATAAAGAGTTGATTTATATAATGAAGCTTATCAAAGAGAGAAGGTTATCCAATCTTATTAATTAATTTTGCCATCCAGAGAGAGGAATTCCTGAAAACAACAGACCCCAAGTCAAATGCATGGACCAGGACCAGAGAGAAAAGAAATCCAAGAAAGAATCTGGACTTGGCACATAAAAGAATTCTAAACCAAAAATCTGGAGTGGAAATTTAATATGGCCCACAGTGTTTCATAATTTATGCAATCAAGACCTTGCTGTAGTCAATGAAATACTGTAACTGTAAATATCCAGTTGGTATTCTTTTGTCTTTTCAAGAATCTCATATCTGCAATGGTGTCTCTTGTTCCTCACCTTTCCTGAACTCTGCCTGTGCTTCTGTGCAGGTATGCTTTTAGTCTCCACTGAATCAACCTTGAGTAGAATCAACCTTTTCTTGATCAGCATCAATTCTTGATGGATCCTTCAGCATCTTTTAGCATTCCAATTCAGGGCTGGAATTTTCACTTTAACTCTTGTAGCTTTTGGAAACAGATCTTGTTCTTCCTCTAATATTTTCTGGTTTGATTTCCTTGCATGCATTATTATAGTAGTTCTCTTTGTCTTACCTTGCAGCACCTTGAAAATTTTGGTGCAGTTCCATAATAGCCTCCCTTGCTCCTCAGGTATTTGCTTCTCAACATTTCTGAGCGATTTTGAGAATTTCTTCAGTCATACCGATTTTGCTTTTTCAACTTTTGCAAATATTTCTTGCTTTCTTTCCTTCTGGTGCCCTGTCATTAGTATTCAATGAAGCAAATTGATTTTGTAGGCATTCTTTAAATCCTGGTGGTATACTTTCAAGGTCATACTTTGCTATATTCATTACCAGCTTGCTCTCTTTTCCAACTTTAGCTTGGTTTTTTGTATACCACTAGTTGAAGATCTGTACCAAAGCCTGTTCCAGGTTTTCTTTGTTGATGTTCTTAAGCTTTCCCATCATTTTTGTTCAGTACATTGGGTGAAATGCATGTATACAGTAACACTTTGTGTTGCTGGAAAACTGTTTGAAATAAACAGGTTGATGGTCTTGCAAAATTCAACCAAATGTTCTTCAGCTTCATTTCTCTTATGAAGCCATATTATCCCACCAGACAGCTTTCTTTTTTGTTCCCAGCTTTTGCATTCCAGTCACCCATAACTATCAGTATATTGTTTTGCATGTTCTGTCAATTTCAGTTTGTCCTTGTTGGTAGAAGTGATCAATCTCATCATCTACTGCATGTTGATGCATATACCTCAGTAATAATCATGTTGATGGGCATTTCTCAAAGCTGAGTAGAAATTAAGTGTTCACAGACTGAATTGGATTTCATTACAACTCTTGCAAGGTTCTTCGTTATTATAAATGCAACATATTTTCTTCTTTATCCTTCATTTTCTGCACAATATACTGTGTGATCATCAAATTCAAAGCGCCTGATGCCAGTCCATTTCAGTTCATTAACATCAAACAGATCAACTTAGTGCCTTCCATTCATCTTGACCATTTCCAGTTTTTTTCTGATTCATGCTTCATATATCTGATGTTCCAATTTGTAGGACTTCTTTACTGCTTCTGACCCTCATTTCATGCACAGGTACATCAGCAGTCAGACAACCAGAGGGCTTTGCTCCAAGCACATCATAAATGCCTGCTTTACTCTGAAAAGTCTTCAGCATTTCCCCAGCAGCTTATTGAGTGTCCTCCAACCCGACAGATTCATCTGCCAACTGTATATCACAATTTGTTTTGTTTTGACTATCCACTGGGTTTTCTAGGTAAGATAATGAAGTAGATTCCCAGGCCTTTATTCTATGCAGTGTTGTGGCTTTTGTCACAGAAATCTAATTCTCCATCACCAACAATGTCCCATACTGCTTCTGTGCAGCTGGATGATTTGTCTTAGTCTGGCACTTCAACTGAGACCTGTCCATCTTGGCCAGTAGTCGATTTACTAATAGCATACCTCTCATCATCACTGATATATGCAAGCCCTCAGAACATGTCAGGCTGCAAACCAAGCAAGGATATTATAAGTATAGTGTTGATTATTTTCATATATTTGGTGTCTGTATTTCTCACAATTAGAAATATACTTGGAGCAGATCTGTGAGTATGTGTGAGGATGCAAGTAAATAAACAAATGAATGTATGAGACTTCTGACTACTTTCCAAACCTCAGGTATAGTGAAGAGCAGAGGGCTGAATAAGCATTTCAGAGGAGAGTACTGTTCAACTTGAGGTGTGAATTGGGGCAGAATAATCCAAACAATTTGTGGTAAATTCATTGTCATTCAGTGCCTAGGCAACAAGGTGTGTGAGTTGAAGAAACAGGTTGCAAATTGGCTTCTAACATATTTGGCCTGCAGACACAATGCTCTTGTACTTGGTAATTGGATACAAGCTAAGAGAAAGGGAAAGAATCTCTGAACATGCTGGTAATGTGGAAAAAAATTAAAGAATCATAGAGAGTTGGGAAAAGTTCAATGGCTTCTCTATTAAAAGGGAAGGAAAACGATTTGCAGCAAAAGGCTTTGGAACTGTTAGGGACACCTCCTTGGGGAGACAGGGATGGCAGACTATCATCGACTTTTTAAGGACTATTATAATGAACAAATGCTAGCAGAGAAGGAAAGGGTGGTATCCTTGCTGCAAAGCTTTGTTCATGATTTGGGGGAATGATATGAAGGCTTACAAAGACAACGTGAGGATTCAATAGTTAATTACAATCTAAGATGTGAGGAAGAGTGAGAAAATAAAGCTTGGTAGCAAAAGGAGAAAGAAATTAGCAATTTTTAACTACAGATAATGATTCTGACTCAAACTGCCCAGAGGACTGAATTAGATGTTCTTATACAATTAGATCAGACATTGGGGATAGCAGCTTAGTTAGGGGAGCAGGTTCAAAAGTTGCAGGGAGAATATAGGTAATTGCAGGGACGCAAAAAAATAGTTAAAAATTCTTAACTAATTCTTAAGGAATGAAAATCAGATCCAAAATTGCTATGTCATTAACTGAAGGAAAGGGTGCAACAGAGGACTCTTCAAATTGCTAGCATGGCTCGGGAGCCATTTGAAGATGTTGAACATCATGATTTAAAACTATTAGATTATGAGCCAGTAGGAGCTTTAACAGTTGCTACTACTGCTAGAGATGCAGCCACAGTAACTAGTGCTTAGAAGAAGGAGATGCCATCTGATTTTAGAGCAAAGCAGAGATAGGGAAAGGATCTGATGGAATATTGGCAAGAATAGCAAGAGGATGGGAAGATAGCTTGGACTGTAGAAGAGTTGTGAGAACAGACTACCGGATTGGACCCATGGTATAATAGACACAGAGAACTGTGGGAAGTTGGAGAGCAAGGAACTTTGACTGCAAGATGGCAGGAGGTAATAATTCAGATGAGGCCACTTTCAGAAGAGGAATCTAAAAATGTTCAAATAGAGCAGGAACTCATAGAGGCAGGAAACTAGGCAAGATCCTGGCTTAAAATAGCACTAAAGAAGAGTTTTTGTCTAAGACAGAGAAGGTAGAGGCATTCTCTAGCCAGACAGTAGAAATTCTGTCAGGAGGTAAGCTGTGTTACAGAGTAAGCTTAAGAATAGAGAAGAGAATATGTCTCTGTGGGATAAACAGCCTACTGAACATTTGCAGCACAGGGTAATAGAGATGCAGGAATTGGATCATTATAATTCTCTTTTCAGATGTATAGAGCAGCAAATAATTGCATCAAACCCAAGGAAAATTATGTGTAATTTTATACATTTTTAATATTACTGTGCACCTTCCCTCTTGATGCAAATTGCAATGATTACGCCTTGTTTTATGTAAACTGGTCAACTGCAAATGGAGATGTGCTATTAATTTGTACAGATGCTATTCTGTTAATAAGATTTGGCATAAGGATTTTCAAAAACATTAAAAATGATTATTGGGCTTGGAAAGGCTTCATGTAAATTATTATTGTGTTTTCACATGTGCACATGTGTCTTAAAAACTACATATCTACTGAATTGGGATTGGATAACCTAAGAAGAAAAAAAAATGCATAAAATGCATAAAATGAGGACAGTATTTTTTTTTTAAATCCTTTACTAAAACTAATGTTAAAGCAATGCCTCAATATAAAAAACAACAACAATGAAGTACCATAATTTTTCAATTAGCACAATATTTCCTTGGGCCTGTAATGAAGCAGAGTATCCAGGAATTGTGGTGTGTTGGTTTTTAAAATATTCCCAATACAAGATTTATATCCAGATGGATATATATACCATCTGAGTGCACTGCACTATCAAATTGGAGACAAGTTGATAAGGGTAAAATATAAAACCAGGATATTTTCCATTTGGAGAACAATATTTTTAATACCGTAGTTACTGATTATCCAATCTTATATCTGCAAGGACTAAAAGATTCCAAGAAGTTCAGGAAATAGAGCTCCTATGTTTTATCAAGTAAGCCCGGCATGAAAGTAGCAATGTAGCATGACAATAACAATGTCTCTTATTCATATATTCTATTTTTGAGAATGATAATAATAATAATACTTTAATCTCAGATAGTGTTAGCAGTCTCCCATGACAGCCTTTTGATGAGAGCCTTCAAATGTACTTTCCAAATGTGCACAGCAACCCAAAACCGTTGTTTGCTTAACCAGGACAGGCACATGTTAAACTGGCTGAATATAACTGAAGACAGCTAATCATAATGCCTCTGAGGGATGAGGCATTTATTGTAGAGAAAATCACTTCCTTCCATACCCATAACATTCCCTGATAACCATACGTAGGATTGGACATTTAATCTGCTTCAATTTGCAAAAATGCTGTGTTGTGATGCTTTATTGTTTGTATGGTTGATTACTATTTACCTTTCAATGTTCTGTGAGTTCCTCTGAGCGTCACTGGTAATAATAAGAATAGAAATAAAAGTCCTCACTCATCAGTGAAGTTCAATGGATGGTTTTGGACTAGTCTCCATCGCTGGCTTAACAATGCTTTGTAGCAGTATATTGTTCTAAGGGAAGAAAAAAAATCAAATAATTCCATGTCTTCTGTTGTAAATGGCTGAAATAGAATATGACAAATTAAATTTAAAAATCTTTTTTTTTCTTTTCAGACTTATGCCCTACTAACATTTGATTCACCTGCTGCATCTTTTCTAGAACTAGTAGAGCTATTTTTACTCTGATGCTAAGTGAAAGCAAATGCTAATACTGATACAAAACTTAATCAGCAATTAAAATAACTACCTCTGTATAGAATGTCTTCTCATGGAAGAGCTTTGACTTGTTTCCAATGATAGATTACCAGACAAAGTCCTGATACAGCATTGTTCTGCTAGCAGCTGCACACAATTAGCACAACACAAGTAACACAACTAAAGTACTCCTTAAGTGCTACAATCACTTGTATCATATCTTACACAAAATCATATGCAATGGCTTGCAAATATGTGTGCAAGGATAAAGACATAGTTTCCACATGTGGTTGAAGCTTTGCTATACAAGAGGCAGCAGGATTGAGTATACAATGACTATAAACATTCCCACAGCATTTGAAATCTCTTGCATTATGGCTACTTCAATTCCAGACACTTTGATAGCTACTATTAAAGTTATATCGATTTTTTTCTATCTGGTGGCTTGGGGATGGGGTTTCCTTTACTAACAATCTAGAATTATTTTAGAAAAATAAATATTTTTTATGATTTTAAGAATGTTTCTTTTTGTATTGAACCCATATAGTTTTGATTCCTCATAACTCCATGATGTTTGAGATATTCATAGACTGGCCTACAGCTAGAAAGTGTAAGTTCTATGGTAACCAGTAGCTTGCTTTCCCCCAGAATTTCAGACACATTAACATTAACTAATTCTGTTTCTAACATTTGATTAATCTGGGAAATAATACTTATTCCAGGATATGAAATAATGAAGCAGGATTTTTGTGTATATGTCTATTGTGTAATTTTATTTAGCTAATATGCAACTCAAAAACTAAATCTGGTCAGAAATTTGCTTATCTGTGAGGTTCTTCTTTCTGACATGTAGAAAGCACAAGCAAAATCCAATTATTGGAGAAGGATTTGAATAGCCTCTTTCAAAAAATTGACAATAGAAAATCCATCTGCAACTATAAAGAGAAAGGTACTTTTCATTGATATTAGGAAAATGAATAATTTCATCAACAAACATTTATAAAATATTGCCACACAAATTTACATATAAAAAGTGCTCTGCACAAAAGCTTTCTTGGCAAGTTGGTGAACTATTCATTCCATTAATTACTTGTCTGCTTAAAAAAAAATACAATTATAATTTATAGGTCATAATATTACTGGCAACCACTACTTTGGTGTTCGCTTTACTGGGCTGAAAATTATGGGACTTGATATCAATTACATCTGCAGACCAGGAGAAACTTGGCTACACAATGCCAGATGATGCTTTCTTTAATAGAGGCATGGTTTCTTCTAATAGGTCTAATTTAATTTTTTTTTAAATCTTTATTTTGAAAGTTTGTGCAGTATATTTTTTTCTCAAGAACTACATAGTTAATTCTACCTGAATTCTCTCCAAGTACTATTCAGTACATGCTGTTTTTTAAAATCATCCTCTTGGATATAAGGCTATTGGTTTTTGTAGATGACACATGTGTTTTTATTGTTCTTTTAAAAAAATTAATAAAGTTATTAAAAATTATATAATGCTAGCACTAGCATGTTTTGTTAGTAATATTTATACTTCATATACTGTATGTCTTATTCTTTTTCATATGCGTTCATTTTCCCTTGTGTCTTTTGGAGGAGATACTAAGGTTTTCTCTTTAGTGAATAAGGAATTGTTTACTGTTTGCTCTCATTTAATTGTGGATATACAAACAGAATCTAGCTTCTTTATTTTCTGCTTTCCTAACAGAACTCTTATGACTGAAGTTGTGTGTGTTTGCATGTGTGTGTATGTGTGTGTGTGAGAGAGAGAGAGTGAGAGAGAGAGAGTGAGAGAGATATTTAGCTTATGTTGTCCCTAGTACCCACTGTTGGCACATTTTTCTTGAACTCATGGTCACCTGATACATAACCTTTTACCCTGTAATCTCATTTCCAATTTAGAAATTGGAAGAGTCTATGACATAAAGACAGTTACTTAAACAAAGCATGTGCTAAAGGAGATGACATTACTTGTCTTTTCTTGTTGTGAAAGTGTGACCTTTTCTACTGTGAACCTTTACTCACTATATATTTAGAGTAAAGAAGAGTAGTTGCAAAGCTATATTTAGAAATAGAGATGAACATTTGGGAATCTGTTAAAAACAGGGAAATGAGAAAGTTCTTTTCTGTACAGATTATCATGTATTTTAACTTAATTTAATATTCTAATTTTGAGACCACCTGACTCCTCAATAACTGTAGGCAGCTTATGGTGAAGTAGAATTTTTAAAGTATCAAGGAAAATAAGAGATGACTGACTGGAAGACCAACTCATAACAGGAAGAAATAAAAACAAAAAAACAAGGGGGTCAACTAGCCATCCTACCTAAAACCTGGGAGAACAACCAGGTTTTCAGCAATTTGTGAAAAATCAATAGAGTGGGAGCAGTAAGGATCTCTGGCAGGATATCATCCCAGAGGACAGGAGCCATTACAGAGAAGGCATGCTTCCTGGGTCCCATAAGATGGCACTGTATATGAAGAAAACAACTAATTTCTGTTAAAGGGGGGAAAGCACAAGTGAATGTAGAGAAAAACCATTTGCTCTGTTGACTCTTTAATTGAATTTCATACATTTTGCAGTTTGCCTATCAATAAAAGTATAGCAGGTATCTCTGCTGTCATAAGAAAACCTACAATGTGAGAGCAGACAAGTTGCTTCAGGGCTTGTAGAAGTGCAAAACTGCAAAGGTAAGATGCTAATACCAAGGGGAAGTTCTTTAGCATCTCTGCAGAGCTGACATGTGCAGTCTCAGCACTGAATAAAGCCATCCTGACAACAACAAGGTAGAAATAGGAATAAGATTAGAGCACAAGAGAAAGAAACCTGCTGATAGAAGATGAGGCAGCATACAAATGGGTTAAAAGAAGAAATGGACGAATAGCCTCATTGGCTTCTCCTCTATTAGTCAGAAATGCCAGCACAATTGAATTTAACCTGAGGGAGCAACTTGTGTAAATTGGGTCAGGGGAGGGCATTCCTGTGGCAGTGGGACCTTATAGAGCTTAATTTTTAAAATAAAACATAGAAATGATAACGTCACGTCATTTGACTTGAACGTCATTCTCCAAACCTCCCACTCTGATAACTAGAGAAGGAAGGAGGTTACCTGACAAATGAACCACTCATTCTGTTAGATATTTTCTACATCTGATCACTCTATAGAATGGTCTTATTGGCTTACATTAATAACCCATTTTACATGGTCAATTTTGTTACAGAAACATATTGTTTGAATGTTTCCTGCGGGACCTCAAATGTAAGCTTTGAAATGTGGATGCCACTTACAAGTGCTCTAGAGATTTGCAGAGAATAAACCTTTAAGGGTGCAAAGTATTTACACATCACCTATGGTCCAATTATAAATAAAGATTTATTGAATAAGAGGACAAAGGAAGGTAAGCTAGTGCTATCCATAAAAGTAATCCTACACTAGAAAACTGGTGTAGCTAGGCATAAAGCCTATTTCAGCTTCAGTAAACTTACTCAGGAACCTGATTTTACAACAAGTCATGCATCAATTTTAAATATCAGTTTGCCTGGGACTCCAAAAACAATTGGGTGCAGTGGGACATTAGGAAAGGCACTTATGCTATTCAAATACAATTAGATATTAGGTATGTTTGCTGCCTTGAGTTATTTATAAAAATAATAAAGGTGGGATAAAAAAAGTACTACTATTACTTTGATTGGCACCCGCCCTTCTTCTAGCCACTACACAATGATACAAGTAAATAAGCAGAACTACTATATCAGTGGCAATTGTTATCAAAGAGAAGGAGGAGGAAAAGGAGGATTATATTTGGAGTTTTCTCCAGGAGCTCAAGGCAACTCATCTCCTTTGTTTTTATCCCCAGAATAAGAACAACAACTTATGTTGATGAGGAAGAAACCATGTCAGCAGCTTTGTGTTTTAGCAAAAAGACTGTGGCCAGTATATAATTAGTGAGTTAGTCAGGAATAAAGTAGCTTCCTCAACAATTCAGATATTTTAAATAAGCAGGCAGCCCAAAACAAGTTTTATGTCACTGTCACTTTCTGTAGAGACCAGACTAGAATTCTTGAGTTTTCCCATCCCATGGGTGATCTTTGTGTTAAAGATAGATAGATAGATAGATAGATAGATAGATAGATAGATAGATAGATAGATAGATAGA